CATGGCGTTATAGCTCACAGCACCCTCAAACTATTGGGCTTAAGCAATTCTCTTGCCTCAGCCTCCCAAGTAGCTGGGACTACAGGTACCCGCCACTACACCCGGCTATTTTTTTGTTGCAGTTGTCATTGTTGTTTAGCTGGTCTAGACTGGGTTTGAACCTGCTAGCCTTGGTGCATGTGACCAGCATCGTAACCACTGTGCTATGGGCACCAAGCCTCAGTTTTTCTATTTTTAATAGAGATGGGCGTCTCACTTTTGCTCAGGCTGGTCTCGAACTCATGAGCGTTCAAGCAATCCACCTGCCTTGGCCTCCCAGTGTGCTAGGATTATAGATGTGAGCCACAAAGCCTGGTCAATTTTTTTTTTTTTTCTGATAATGGGTGTCATCTCCAAAACCACATCCTGCAGCATAAGAATGTTTGGATGTGGGTTCAGGCACCTCAGTGCTTGTATCCCTCATAGATTGTTCACTTGCTCACTATCTTCATCCTGGATGTGGAAGCCTGGAACAACTCCTTGCCAACACTGGACAGAAAAGAAAGAGGCAGGAAGGGTGGCCCCCTGCCTTCCCTGAGGTGGTGTCCTGCACTAAGACCTCCATCACCATGAGAAGACCTCCATCACTTTCCCTTGATGGAAAGTATTAGGATCTTTCTGCCACGTTGTATTTCAAGTTTTCTATTTTTTGTAGGGACAAGGTCTCGTTATGTTGCTTAGGCTGATCTGGAACTTCTATCCTCAAACGATTCTCCCACCTCAGTCTCCCAAAGTGCTAGGATTATAGTGGCATAAGCCACTGTACTCAGCCTACATAACCTTTTCTGTTTCCATATGATATTAGCATTTTTCTTATCCTTCAATCTCTTCTTCCAGGGCCAACCCCAGGATTAAAGGTGGCAGATAACTATCTACTAAGAGTTTCAATTCATTCCCCAGGTGAAGCGTCCAGAATAATTTCTGAAAATCATCTTTATTAAGATATAGTTCATATACCATAAATTTACTCGTTTAGAATGTAAAATTCAATGGGTAAGAATATTCACAGAATTGTTCAACTATTACTACAACCCAGAACAATTCATCCCTCAGAAAAATCCAATACTCATTAGCAGCCACTCTTCATTTCACTCTTCCCCGACCATCTAGGACAGTCACTACTTTTTGTCTCTATAGACTTGCCACTTGTAAACATTTCAAATAATGGAGTCATATAATATGTGGTCTCTTGTATCTGGCTTCTTTCACTTACCATAATGTGTTTAAGTTTTATTCAGGCCCTACAGTAGCAGTATTTTTATTCTTTTTTTTTTTTTTTGGAGACAGAGCCTCAAGCTGTCCCCCTGGGTAGAGTGCCCTGGCATTACAGCTCACAGCAACCTCCAACTCCTGGGCTCAAGCGAGTCTCCTGCCTCAGCCTCCCAAGTAGCTGGGACTACAGGTGCCCGCCACAACGCCTGGCTATTTTTTGGTTGCAGCCGTCATTGTTGTTTGGCGGGTCCGGGCTGGGGATTCGAACCCGCCACCTTAGGTGTACGTGGCTGGCGCCTTAGCCGGTTGAGCTATAGGCGCCAAGCCAGTATTTTTATTCTTATTTTTTGTAGTTTTTGGCCAGGCTTGGGTTTGAATCCACCGCCTCTGGCATATGGGGCCGGTACTCTACTACTTTGAGCCACAGGTGCCGTCCAGCAGTATTTTTAATTATAGTCCATGTGTGAACGAATCTACTACACTTTGTTTTTTTCTTTTCTTTTCTTGAGAGAGAGTCTCATTTTGTCATCCTCAGTAGAGTGCCATGGCATAATAGCTCGCAGCAACCTCAAACTCTCAGGCTTAAGTGGTTCTCTTGCCTTAGCCTCCCAAGTAGCTGGGATTACAGGCGCCTACCACAATGCCTGGCTATTTTTAGAAACGGGGTCTCACTCTGGCTCAGGCTGATCTCCAACTCATGAGTTCAGGCAATCCACTCACCTCGGCCTCTCAGAGTGCTAGGATTATAGGCATGAGCCACCGTGCCTGGCCCTTCTACCACAGTTTTATTTATCTGTTCATCAATTGGTGCTGATAGACACAGGAATTTTGAAAACCAGATCTTTCTAAATTCTTGACGTCTAGGTTGTTGGCATTTACCTAAGGTAATAAAAAGGCATGCAACATCCCAAATAATGGCCTGGTATGGTGCTTCACACCATACCACTAGCACTACTACCAGTGCTAGTAGTCCTAGCACTTTGGAAGGCTGAGATGGTAAGACTGCTTGAGGCTAGGAGTTCAAGACCTGCCTGGGCAATATAGTGAGACCTCACTTCTAAAATATATATATATATAGTAAAAAAAATTTTTTTTTTGAGACAGAGTTCCAGTCTGTTGCCCCAGGCTAGAGCGCTCTGGCATCATAGCTCATAGCAATCTCAAACTCTCGGGCTCAAGCAATACTTCTGCCTCAGCTTTCCAAGTAGCTGGGACTACAGGTGCCTACCACAATGCCTGGCTAAGTTTTTCTACTTAGTAGAGATGGGTTTTCACTCTTGTTCAGGCTTGTCTCAAACACCTGAGCTCAAGGAATTCCCCCACCTTGACCTCCCAGAGTGCTAGGATTGTAGGTGCAAGCCACTGAGCCTGGCCTGGGTGTGATTAAATATTACCTGGGTGTGATAGGGCACTCTTGTAGTCTTATCTACCCAGGTGACTGAAGCAAGAGGATTGCCTGCGCCCAGCAGTTTAAGGATGTAGTGAGCTGTGGTTGAGCCATGGCACTCCAGCCTAGGTGACAGAGCTAGGCCCTCTCTTAAAAAGAAAAAAAGCGTTGGCTCGGTGCCTGTATCTCAAGCAGCTAAGGTGCCAGCCACATACACCAGAGCTGGCAGGTTCGAATCTAGCCTGGGCCCACCAAACCACAATGACAACAACAACCAAAAAATAACTGGGCATTGTGGGGGGTGCCTGTAGTCCCAGCTATTTGGGAGGCTGAGAATCGCTTAAGCCCAGGAGTTGGAGGTTGCTTTGAGCTGTGATGCCACAGCACTCTACCCAGGGCGACAGCTTGAGGCTCTGTCTCAAAAAAAAAAAAAGTATCAAATAAAATACTACGGGGTGGTGCCTGTGGCTCAAGGAGTAGGGCACCGGCCTATATATACCAGGGGTGGCAGGTTCAAGCCTGGCCCTGGCCCAAAATGCAATAAAAAAAATACTACATAGAGGAAGCAATCAGTTCCCTTGTACTTCAGTTAATAGACAGAAAACCATCTTACATGCTTACCTTATCTGGTGCATTTTTGCTTAACATTAAAGGAAAGACTCGCTCATGAAGCCAATACTTGCGATTGTTGTTATTACAGCCATACAAGAAGATATTATTCTTACGGCTGTGGCCATGGAAATCACAATACAAGAGAACCTCTCTTTCTTCAAGAAGTCTGTTGAGGAGAGGAGAGGAAAGAAAGGACTCAGTGGACATTCAAATGCATGGAAATCCTCTTTTATGTTTACACGGATGGAACTGGAACATATCCTACTTTGTAAAGTAGCTCAAGAATGGAAGAAAAAATATCCCATGTACTCAGTACTATTATGAAACCAATTTATAATCACTCACACTTTCATATGAAGAACAGATTACAACTATGGCCCAAGATGAAGGAGGAAGGAGGGGGTATGGGAGGAGAGGGGGGAAGTAAAAAAAAATGCATGGAAATAATCAAGGATTATGTGGCATCTCATTCTTAAATATGGTTATTTATACATTCCCTCCCAAGAAAATCCTAACTGCAATGGCCTTCAGGAGACCCTATCCCCATCCTTAGCCATTGCTAAAAACATTTCACCGGCATGTCTTGTCCCTGTTAATCAGAGGGACTTAAAATGGAAAAGTCTAACATGGAAAGGGATGGTGGGTAGGCCTGTGTAAGCTGACAAGGAAGTGGAGCAAACCTGTTGGGAAAAAGCCCACCCTGAAGCAGAACTGTGAAGAGAAGGAGGGAGGCATAGAGGCCGCAACTGCAGGAATGAAAAAGAATCAAGGAGACTTGGCGCCTATAGCTTAGCGGTTAGGGTGCCAGGCACATATACTGGAGCTGGTGGGTTCAAACCCAGCCCAGGCCTGCCAAACAACAATGACAACTATAACCAAAAAATGGCCAATGTTGTAGCAGGCACCTATAGTCCCAGGTACTTGGGAGGCTGAGGCAAGAGAATCATTTAAGCCATCGTTAAGGTTGCTGTGGCACTCTACCAAGGGCAATGTAATGAGACTCTGTCTCAAAAAAAAAAAAAGGTCTGAAAATTAACAAATCCACTTGACTGCAAAGAGAATGGTAAAAATTCTGTCTCCAAAGCCACATTTGATTCCTTTAACAGAAGAAGGAAGAGACAGAGATATCTGGCACTAGTACTCACAGCATTCCCAGAAAGATCAACAGATAAAAGGTCTCACCTTTTGATCATGTTCCTGGTGTGCCAAATGCAAGGGAAAGTCTCCTTCAGAATGGTTTTATAATGCCTGTTCAAGTCCCTTCCAGCCAAGGAACATCGATAATTTCCCACAATCACACCATCTGGATTTAACATGGGAACCACCTTGAAGACAAAGATATCTCTGAGGAGCTGGGCATCTGGGGAGTTGCTAAGGATGAAATCCAGAAAGCCTTTCATAATCCAGGAGCCATTACTTTCCCCAGGGTGGACTCTGGCACTCAAGACCACAGCTTTCTTTGCAGCTGCCTGTTGAGGGGTCTGGGATGGATTGGTGATGGTAAGCAGGTAGACAGTATTTCCTGCTAGACTCCTACATAGAGTTCGGAGCTTGCAGAACTGAGACTGGATGGGGTTGTTTGCCACTGACAGGAGGTAGCATTGCAAATTGGTGTATGTATATGGGTAGAAGTGTGCAAAGAAGCAAGTGTCCTGGTCATGTGGAAACTGAATGGTCCACGTGAGACAGTAGAAGGGCTGCTGCCCATCGTCTGTGTTGTTCTTATAGTACTTAATTTCATTTCCTTCTCTCCTCCAGCCAATGTTGTGGATGTTGGCATCCAACTGGGAGTACATGAGTGGCTTCATCCCTATGGTATAAAGGCTCTTGGGTTTTAGCAAATTGACGATGGTGAAGCGATAGGTGGCATCTTTTCTGGTGTTCTGAACCCGAAAATAAAACCATTGAGTATGTTTGTTTGTGTAGAGGTCAGTTCGCAAGGTGAGTTCATACTCATAGGTGTCTCTGTAATGGGAAAAATAGAACATCTTTGTAACTTCACATTCCCCTTAAAAAAAAAAATCTGAGGGTGGCACCAGTGGCTCAAAGGAGTAGGGCACCAGGCCCATATGCTGGAGGTGGGGGGTTCAAACCCAACCCTGGCCAAAAACTGAAAAAAAAAATCTGGGAAAATACTGTTTTTCTTTCGTAAAAATGAATTTATTTATAACAGAAAAACCTGAACCTGCTCCATCAAACATTTATTTTCTAATTAGTTCTCCAACACACATATTAAACTAGTAGAAACTTGAGGAAAGAGAAATTGTTTGGAAGGGGGAAGAAAGAGTTTCAAAACACACTGTTGCATAGCATGTGTTTTTGTTTTTTTTTGAGACAGAGCCTCAGGCTATTGCCCTAGGAAGAGTGCAGTGGCATCATAGCTCACAGCAACCTCCAACTCCTGGACTCAAGCGATTCTCTTGCCTCAGCCTCCCGAGTAGCTGGGACTACAGTCACCTGCCACAGTACCTGGCTATTTTTTGGTTGTAGTTGTCATTGTTTGGAAGGCCCAGGCTGGATTTGAACCCTCCAGCTCTGGTGTATGTGGCTGGCCCCTTAGCTGCTTAAGCTACAGGCGCCACCCAGTTGCATAGCATGTTTAGAAGTTCTATGAGCTTTTTGGTGTTTTTCCAGAGTGCTTAGTAGAAGTTTCTAATGACCGTAATAAATTTATCTGAAACACACTGAATACGTCGGGTGCGATGGCTCACACTGGTAAATCCTAGCACTCTGGGAGGCCGAGGTGGTTGGATTGCTTGAGCTCAGGAGTTTAAGGCCAGCCTCAAAAAAAAAAAAAAAAACAAAAATAAAAATTGTAAACATCATAATTTCCCATTAGTTATGAACAAAGTGAATAAGGTGTGGAATACTCCTACAACAGAATAATATACACTATTAAAAATAAAGACATACATGGATGGTTCTGCCATAGAAAAACACCTAAAATTTATTAAGTAGAAAAAGACAACTGACAAAACAATGCGTGTATATTATTATCCATTTTTTTTTTTAATTGAGACAGTTTCACTTTGTCATCCACTGAGCTACAGGCACCCAGCCTTTTTTTTTTTTTTTTTTTTTTTTGGAGACAGTCTTGCTTTGTTATACTCGGTAGAGTGCCCTGGTATCATAACTCATAGCAACTTCAAACTCTTGGGCTCAAGTGATTCTCTTGCTTCAGCCTCCCAAGTAGCTGGGACTTACAGGCACCTGCCACAATGCCCAGCTATTTTTAGAGGTCTGGAATTTGAATTCATGAGCTCAGGCAATCCACCTACCTCAGCTTCCCAGGGTTGCTGCCTCTGGGGGGTGTGATGATAGGACTTTTTATATTATGTATTTTTACTGAATCAAAAAAAATTTTTTTTAATTGAGACAGAGCTTCAAGCTGTCACTCTGGGTAGAGCGTTGTGGCATCACAGCTCACAGTAACCTCCAACTCCTGGGCTTAAGTGATTCTCTTGCCTCAGCCTCCCAAGTAGCAGGGACTACGGGCACCCACCACCACACCCAGCTATTTTTTGGTTGTAGTTGTCATTGTTGTTTGGCAGGCCTAGGCTGGATTCAAACCCACCAGCTCTGGTGTATATGGCACCTTAGCCGCTTAAAATCAAATTTTAAGTGAGCTCTAATTTCTTTCATAAGCAGAAGAAACAATTTTTTTTCCCTAGAGACAATCTCACTCTATCGCCCTTGTAGAGTGCCAGATCTTCACAGCTCACAGCAACCTCCAGCTCTTGGGCTTAGGCAATTCTCTTGCCTCAGCCTCCTGAGTGGCCAGGGCAGGGTGTGAACCCGCCACCCTCAATATATGGGGCCGGCGCCCTACTCACTGAGCCACAGGCACTGCCCCAGAATAAACAATTTAAATGATGTTTTATTCGGGGGAAAACATGAGTTATAATTATTCCACTCTTCTTCACTCTCATAACCATTTCCTACTATCTCTCTTTTTTGCTAACACTCCTAATTCTGGTATCATTCCTGAAGATGCCTGTCAATCACTGTAATTACTATTCTTTTGGGAAATTTCTTTTTACTTACACTCTGACAGCTTTTTGTAGATTCCCACTCTCAAACCTTGATTCAAACAATAGAGTATTGTCTTCTGGTCCTTGCAAGGTGACAGCAAGTTCCTTGATACTTCCTCGTTTGCCTCCTACTCGGGAACTGGTGAAATAGGAACCTTCTGTGGGCACTGCAGATAAAATAAACATACTTTGTCCATTCTTCTCACCACTCAAAAATTCATTCACTGGGCGACACCTGTGGCTCAATGAGTAGGGCGCTGGCCCCATATACTGAGGGTGCCGGGTTTGAACCTGGCCCTGGCCAAACTGCAACAAAAAAAATAGCTGGGCATTGTGGCTGTGATGCCACAGCACTCTACCAAGGGCATCAAAGTGAGACTGTCTCTAAAAAAAAAAAAAAAAATTATTTATTCAGAAATTATTTACTGACCTCATCTATGTGGTCAGCACTATTCTAGGCAAACAACAGTTGAATATTCAAATTTTTAATCATCTTCGCTGAGACTTTTTTTCTTTCCCTCAGTAGAGTACTGTGGCATCACAGCTCACAGCAACCCCAAACTCTTAGACTTAAGCGATTCTCTTGCCTCAGCCTCTGAAGTAGCTGGGACTATAGGTAATCACCACAACACCCATCTATATTTTAGATGGGGTCTCTATCTTGCTAAGGCTAGTCTTGAACTCATGAGTTCAAGCAATCCACTCAACTTGGCCTCCCAAGTGTTGGGATTACAGGCATGAGCCACCTTGCCCAGGGTCTTTTGCTGAGACTTTTAATTTTCTTTTCATTTTTTTTCCTTTTGAGACAGGGTCTCACTCTGCCATCCTGCGTAGAGTGCAATGGTGTCATAATAGCTCATGGCAACCTCAAACTCTTGGGCAGGAGGCCCACACTATCCTCCTGCCTCAGTCTCCCCAATAGCTGGGACTATAGGTATGCACCACCACATCTGACTGATTTTTCTATTTATATAGAGATTGGGTCTCATTCTTTTTTTTTTTTTTTGAGACATAGCCTCAAGCTATCCCCTTGGGTAGAGTGCCGTGGCATTTCAGCTCACAGCAACCTCCAACTCCTGGGCTCAAGCGAGTCTCCTGCCTCCGCCTCCCAAGTAGCTGGGACCACAGGCGCCCGCCACAACGCCTGGCTATTTTTTGGTTGCAGCCATCATTGTTGTTTGCTGGGTCCGGGCTGGGGATTCGAACCGGCCACCTTAGCTGTACGTGGCTGGCGCCTTAGCCGGTTGAGCTACAGGTGCCGAGCCTGGGTCTCATTCTTGCTCTGGCTCTTCTTGATCCTCCTGCCTCAGTCTGCTAGAATGCCAGGATTATGGGCACAAGCCACTATACCTAGCCAGAGGCTTTTAATTTTCTTTTTCTTTTTTTTTTTTTGAGACAGAGCTTCAAGCTGTCACTCTGGGTAGAGTGCTGTGGCATCACAGCTCACAGCAACCTCCAACTCCTGGGCTTAAGCGATTCTCCTGCCTCTGCCTCCCAAGTAGCTGGGACTACAGGCGCCCGCCACCACACCCAGCTGTTTTTTTGGTTGCAGCTGTCATTGTTCTTTGGTGGGCCTGGGCTGGATTTGAACCTGCCAGCTCAGGTGTATGTGGCTGGCACCTTAGCTGCTTGAGCCACAGGCGCCAAGCTGAGGCTTTTAATTTTCAACAACTTATTTCTTTGGAGTCTTGTAAGCCTATAAGGGTACTTCCTTTTGCTTTATGACTCCTCTTGGTATCTCAGATACTGCTTGTACTCATCTGAACCGTAATTTAAAAGAATGTTGGCAAAAATGATATTCTAAATGTTTGAAAACACAATGCTATTTCACCTACCTTTATGGAGGATCTGAAAACATTTGTAACCTTTTCTATAAAAAATGCAAATAGTGGCTTGGTGCTCATAGCTCAGTGGTTACGGTGCCAGCCACATACACTGGGCTAGCCAGGTATGTTGGGCTAGCGGGTGTTGTGGCAGGTGCCTATAGTCCCAGCTACTTGGGAGGCTGAGGCAAGGGAGTCATTTAAGCCCAAGAGTTTGAGGTTGCTGTGAACTGTGACGCCACAGCATGCTACCAAGGGTGACATAGTGAGATTCTGTCTCAAAAAAAAAAAAAAGAAATATATATATATAGTCAGATGCTAACAATACCCATGAACAAGTAAGAACAATTGATATCAAAGATATTGACCAGGGGGCAGTATATATCCTACCATTAAATAGTAATGTTTGTGCAGGGCCTGATTTTATAACTAGTCAATTCATTAGTAAATACACCCATATTTTGATGACTAAGGTGGAGCTAGACAGTGAATTGCTTTATTGCTTTACCATACTTTATTTCATTGTATATAGCTTTCCCCCTGTAGTATTTTTATTATTTATTTATTTATTTATTTGCAGTTTTTGGCCAGAGCTGAGTTTGAATCCGCCACCTCTGGCATATGGGGCCAGTGCCCTGCTCCTTTGTGCCACAGGTGCCACCCTATTATTATAACTTTCTCATTTTTCCTTTTTTTTTTTTTCTTTTGAGACAGGGTCAAAAGCAACCTCCAACTCCTGGGCTTTAGGCGATTCTCTTACCTCAGCCTCCCAAATAGCTGGGCCTGCCTACAGGTGCCAGCCACAATGCCCAGTTATTATTATTTTTTGTCGTTGAAGTTTGGCTGGGGCCAGGCTCAAACCCGCCACCCTCGGTATAAGGGGCCAGCACCCTACCAACTGAGCCACAAGCACCGCCCAATAACTATTATTTTTAAAGACTGGGTCTCTCAGACTTAAAGACTGTTGCTCTTTAGGTTAGAGTGCAGGCAGTGGCTATTCATGGGTACAATCCCAGTATGCTACAGCTTCAAACTCCTGGGCCCAAAGAGAACCTCCCTGCTCAGCTTCCCAAGTAGTTGGGATTATAGGCATGTGTCACCAGGTCCAGCTTAGTTTTTTCACCATATTAACATTAACATGAGGAGAGCTCATAATCAAGGCAAGTGAGAGTGGAACATATGCTATTTATATCTCAGAGAAGCCTGAACTGTAATTGGCTCATTTCATTCCTCTACTTGCAGGAATGTAAAAATTATGCAGACATTCCCTCCTACTTCTGCTTATTTCTCCAAGAGCCTCCTCTGATTTCACTGACTTAGCACATTCTGTTTCTAACTAAACTTCGTATATATTCCTCCTCCAATAAAACATTTTCTTTCTGATCATCTTATTTAGCAGATTGACTTTGAAATTGTGACAATCTTTTCTTGCTTTCTATTTCTTTCATATAATATTTCCCAATTGTCAAAAACTCTTGTTTAAAAGTTCTAATTGGTCCTGGTATTGATTGTATGTGCAGAGTATCAGATGATTTTTAGTGATGACAAAGGATGCCCTTGTGGGCAGCTCCCCTACCTCCCCATATCCATCCCTACTAACAATTTGTCCTCTTGCCATTATTCAAAATTCACTTCCCCTCCCTCAGAAAGGTTCCTGTTACATTGTTTGCTCATTGCTCCTTAGCATTATGTCCCCTTTGTTCTATCTCTAATGGTACTGTTTCCACCTGCTCCACCTCCTCCCCAGCACTTATTATTGTCTATCTTTTATGATGGCTATTCTAGTGGATATGTCTGTAGTGTCTGTAGCTCAGTGAGTAGGGCGCTAGCCACATACACGGAGGCTGGCAGGGTCAAGCCCAGCCCAGGCCTGCTAAAATCAACAATGACAACTGAAACAATAACAACAAAGAATAGCTGGGCGTTGTGGGTGCCTGTAGTCCCAGCTACTTGGGAGGTTGGGGCAAGAGAATCACTTAAGCCCAAGAATTTGAGGTTGCTGTGAGCTGTGATGCCATGGCATGCTACTGAGGGTAGACATAGTGACTCTGTCTCAAAAAAAAAAAAAAAAGAAAGAAAGAAAAACTATAACACAGTTTTCATAGTTTTAATTTTCATTTCTTTAACAACTTATGATGTTGAACATCTTTTCATGTGCTTAAAAGGCATTTGTATTGGGCAGCAGCTGTGGCTCAGTGAGTAGGGTGCCAGCCCCATATATTGAGGGTGGTGGGTTAGAACCTGGCATAGGCCAAACTGCAACAACAAAAAAGTGCCAGGCATTGTGGTGAGCACCTGTAGTCCTAGCTACTCGGGAGGCTGAGGCAAGAGAATCACCTAAGCCCAAGAGCCAGAGGTTAATGTGAGTTGTGACGCAACAGTACTCTACTGAGGGTGACAAAGTTAGACTCTGTCTCTTTAAAAAAAAAAAAAAAGCATTTGTATTATTTTCTTTGGCAAAATATTCAAATCTATTGCCCATTTTTTAGTTGGTTTGTCTTTTTTTTTTTTTTTGAGACAGAGACTCACTATTTTGCCCTTGGTAGAATACCATGGCATCACAACTCATAGCAACTTCAAACTCTTGGGCTTAAGTGATTCTCTTGCCTCAGCCTCCCGAGTAGCTGGGACTACAGACTTCTATCACAGTGCCTGGCTGTTTTTTTGTTGCAGTTGTTATTGTTGTTTAGCTGGCCCAGGCCAGGTTCGAACCCGCCACCCTTGTATGTGGTCAGTGCCCTAACCACTGTGCTATAGGAACAGGTTATAGATCAATAAATGGAATCAATAACCTGCAATTTTGCTGAATTTGTTGATTAGATTTAGTAGTATATATATTTTTTTAGAGACAGAGTTTCACTTTGTCGCTCTGGATAGACTGATGTGGTATCACAGCTCACAGCAACCTCCAGCTCTTGGGCTTAGGTGATTCTCTTGCCTCAGCTTCCGGAGTAGCTGGGACTATAGGCGCCCGCCACAATGCCCAGCTATTTTTTGTTGCAGTTTGGTTGGGGTTGAGTTTGAACTCGCCATCCTGGGTATATGGGGCCAGCATCCTACTCACTGAGCCACAGGTGCCACCCAGATCTAGTAGTATTTGTATCTGCACGCATTCTTTTGGATTTTCTATATATCAGATCATGTCCTCAGTGAATGAAGATGATTTTACTTTTTCCTTTCCAGTTTGGATGACTTTTATTTCTTTTTTCTGTCTAATTGTTCTGGCTAAAACTTACCACATGATATTGAATGGCAGTGGTGAAAGTGAGCATCCTTGGCGGGGTGCAGTGGCTCACACCTCTAATCCCAGCACTCTGGGAGGCCAAGGTGTGTGGATTGCCTGA